TGATTTTTTGACTATCTTTGATTATTTTTCAGCATTTTGGGGCTAGCTGTCAATTTTTCTCCAAAATCCGCCTGTAGGAGGACATGCCCGACCTAACCCTACCATGCCCAGCACCATCTTCACCGCAGTGCCGCTGGGGACGGAGCGGGGTTCCAGGTCGCCCACGGAGACAGTGCCAGGTCGAAGGCCGGCAGGGCCAGCAACACACCATGCCAGGGCCACCATCAAACGCCATTGACTGCTTGGCCCCCCCAGCGACGTGCAAGCGCGAAGCCAGCAAGCTGGTCACCGTGGGCCCCTCCTCCTCCTCGAATATCCTCGCGTCGGATGCCACAAGATTGTCGTTCTCTCGTTTTGTATTTACCATATGCTGAAAGCTGACCTGGCGCAGCGACACCGTGCTGCAGTGCCCACATATCACTACGAAATACGAGCCGCTGCTCTCGCCGCTATGCAGTGCTAGAGAAGTGGCAGTAGCTGGATCAACGTGGATTCAAGCTGCGTGCGCTCCTCCTCCTCCTCCTCCTCCTCCTCCTCCTCCTCATCCTCATCCCTCCTCTCCTCCTCCTCCTCCTCCTCCTCCTCCTCCTCCTCCTCCTCCTCCTCCTCCTCCTCCTCCTCCTCCTCCTCCTCCTGCCTCCTCCTCCCTCTCCCACCAGTGAGCGACGTTGCACCGGGGCGGCAGAGTGGAGTCCTAGATTGTCTGCATGCGGCGAGTTGGTGTCGAGCGCAGCGCCCAGCATCCTCACCCTCCCCTCAGTGCCAGCATCTGTGGAGCTGGGCCGCCGAGAACGACAGCGACATTGATGGGAGGCTGGTCTTTCTGAAAGGGGGATCTGTCTAGTCGCATCCGTGCTATCTGTGAAAAGGCACTGTGGTACGTCTTGTAGCTAGAAGGATAGACGGCGGCTCATGTTCAAAACGGAGCTCTCGCTTGAATGGCAAGCCCATGGGGCCTGCGTCTTTCATCGGAGTGCTTCCCCCAGAGAACTTACTGCCTTCAGAGAGCTGTGAGGGGAGGACTTGAGATGGGAGGGCATATTGTAGCATCGTTGCAGCTTTCTGGGTTCGTCTGGTCCTGATCCTCCTCTTCTTCCTCCTCCTTCTCCTTCTATTCCGTCCTCCTCATCCCCCGTCATTACCTCATCATCCATCTTCCTGCTTGCTCCTCATCCCTTCTCCTTGTTCCTCTCCTAACCTCTGGTCCTTGCCGGCAGCCGCGGCAGGCCAGGACGCCAGACGAGAGAGAGGGGAGGAGAGGACACAGCGGCAGGGCGGCTCGGGACATGCGCGCAACTATGCCGAAACCACCTAGGGCAGGAACACAAAGAGTTGATGGACCGTGGGTAGCGCAGCGAAAGTTGTATGGCTCGATTTTGCGACAGGTCCCGAAAGATATGCACTCGTCCCATTTGCGGTAGCACACCAGCAACGATGCATTAGCAGCGACGTGCAGTTTGATATTTGTTGTGGTCGTTGGCAAGGCGAGGCATGATGTTTTAGGAAATTGGCTTGTCAGAACGTAAACATTCAACAACGACGATACGGCGTTCATCGAGTAGATCGTTGGACATGGGGCTGATGCCATAGATGGCTGGGGGCTGCAGGTTGCTGGAACAGTAATGCACTGTCCGTGGGTAGGCTTCGGAGGAGTCGGAACAGAGAGGGAGAGACGGTAGGAGTGAAAGGGCAGAGGTTGACACAGAGAAGGGGAGAGAGGAGCCCGCAGGGAGAGAGCGAAAGCGATAAACTGTCGTGCCTTCAGGGAGTTGCAGTTTGAATTGTATGGCATGTGCCCCCCAGGGATTGCAGCCCGAGTCGCCCGCATCTGCGTTGTTTTAATGCTTGATAACGGCACTTGCTGGCATTAGCCTTGGTTTCTCACGAATGAACATGCTTGCATTGTGCGGAACACAGTGCGAGAGTTGAAGGCTTGTTCGGTAATGATACGAGAGCTGTATCATGTTGGCCATGTGGTGCGAATGGGGTATGCTCGCATTGTTCATGCCACTGCCTGTCAAGAAGGTGGCCGACGGTAGTGGCAACCACTTGCTGGTATCCATTCAGTAATGAAATAATATACGGTAACGGCGCAGGTGAATGCAAAGTATGGCTCGCGCAGTCAGTCATGCGTGATGAGGTTGGGGTTCCGTTGGCATTCGACGAGAACATTGATGTTCAAACGCACGTGGACTGTCATGCCTGCGTTGCGCCGACGAACTTGATCAGTCGAGGGCGTGTCATTTACGCCGTAAGATTGTTTGCCTTTGCCGCGGGCACAGATCCCGAATATTACCCACCACAGGCGTTCCACATGTCCAAGAAAGAGTTGGCGCCGCAAACAGGCTTCCACCCAATCGCTCTGGCACGCACTGATCCTCACCGTCAACAACGCTTCGAGGCCCAGTTTCCGTTGCGCACAGTCCGGCGCCTTGACATTGTCGTGTAACTCCGAGGTATTTGTTCGACTCATGAACGTGACGATTATTTCACAGATCAGGAAAGAGTTGACCCGCCCGCCTCTTCGAATCGAAGCCGTAGTCCGGTTGGAGTATATATTGAGTTGTTATTGCAATGTTGTTTTATGAGAAAGATGTATCATTGTCGCCCTGATTGTTTGGGTTTCTTGTGGCTTCCGAGGCGCGACGAACAGCGCAAGGGCGAGCAGCGACGGACGACGATCGAACAAAGGAGGCCCGATAAGGCCTTCGGCCGATCCCAGCCTCTAGGATGCCTCTTGGGGTCGCTTGGGATGCTTCTTGGGAGCCTTTTGGGATTTGTGGACGGCCCCTTGGAGTTCTCGTGGAGGCATCTTTGGGCGTTTCTAGAGAGCTTTTGGACAGTCTTCAGAGGAAAAGTTCCCAAGTCCCTTTCCCAACTGGGAGCCTTCTGGGGGTTTGTTGAGCCGTCTTGTGGCGCTCGTGGGGTTCGCTGGGGCTGTTTGGGGGCGATCTCGGGGGCCTATTGGGCCAAGTCGTTGGCCATGAAGCTCGAAGACGCGAACACCTCACAATATTTCGAAAGCGTGCAGAAAATGAGCGCGCTTAGCGTCTTGGGGGTCCTCCTGGGGCCTCCTGGGCAGACTCGGGGCCGCCCTTTTGGCTTTGCTTGGGACCCTTTTGGCGCCCTGTTGGGCCGTCTTGGGGCTCTCCGACTCCGAGAAAACTAAAGCGGTGCATCCTGGGAAATCTGGCAGTTGTGGTTGGGGTCCTGCGCCCCTTGGTATATACAAGAATGACCGCGTTATGTGGACGTTGGGAAGGGTGGGAATGCGGAGGGGGTCTTACAGGTTGGGAGCCCCCCCCCTGACTTGAAACAGGTGGGAGGTTCGAACCAGAAAGGTGGGGTCTGGAATTGGGTAAATGGGCCCCCCCCCTGAATTGCAGGGGGGGTTCGAACCGAGGAGGACCTTTCCCCCTTCCATCCCCAATTGCAACCGACAACGGCGAGCGCCACCGCCAGCGCCAGACTGTCGGGCAACGACAACGACGAACAGTGGGACCTTAGTAGGATGCGATTAGGCCGGATCGAGCCCTAGTAGGATTCTGTTAGAGTTGGATCAAGTCTTAGCAGGATTCAGTTTTATTTGGATTTGGCGATAGTTCGATACTATTTGAGATGGATCAATCCGTAATAGGATCCAAGTACATCTGGAACCAGATATAATGGGAGCCACTTTGACTTGGATCGAGTTCGGCTAGGATGTTATTAAAGTTGGACCCAGCTCTAGCAGGACTAGATGTGAGATGGGTCGAGCCCTAGTAAGATCCAAGTACTGTTGGACCCACCTATAGTAGGATTCTAGAATAGTTGGGCCGAGCCCGACTAGGGTGATATTAAGGGTAGGCCCAGCTGTAATAGAATTCAGGATTCTACTAGAGCTTGTTCGAGCACTAACAGGATTCGCGTAAGGAGAGAAGGGGGGGCCGTTCGAAGCCCCCCATCCACCTTAGACACCGAGGCGGAGGGGCCCGGTTAGACAGGCCCGTGTTCAAAGGGGGCGGGAGAATAAAGCCGATTCCAACAATTTTAGACCGTTTACAAACCACGTCGGACCGAGTACAACCATTGGAAACAGACAGACTGATCGCAACGAGAAGGGTTCCTATTGAAATCATACAAGGCGAACGCCGGATTACAACCCGGGAAGCTTGCTTCAGCTTCTCAGCGTTTGGAGGACTCTTGAGGGACTCTTGAGGATTCTTCCTGAGCGAATATCTTGGCGAACTGCACGATTCCTGAAGGACTCCTGAGAATCCTGAAAGTTTCACTAGGCGATTCCTTCCGGAATTTTGAGGATTTATGAAGGATCCTTGAAAAGTGTCTGAGGACTCCCGAAAATTATTCTTGTGGGTTCCTCCCGCATGATGAAGGATTCTTGGAAGATCCCTTTAATTTTCTGAAAGATTTCTAGGGTTCCTTAAGGACTTCTGAAGATTTCTGCCGGATTCTTGAAGATTCCTGGAGGATTCTTCGGGATTCTTATATGATTCTCTCGGACTCGGGAGAGATTCTCGAAGATCCTTCAATGAGTATCGAGATTCCTGAAGGATTCCAACCAGATTTGGAGAGAATTCCCACAGGATGTTTGCAAGGCTTCTTGACAGATCCCCGTCGGATTCCTGAGGCATTACTGAAAAAATTAAAAGAATGCTGGAGAGATTCCTGAGGGACTCGTGCGGGTGCCTGAGAGATTCTGGAGGGATTCCAAAGGAATTCTTGCGGATTCCTGAGGAGTCCAGAAGGATTCCTGATGGACTCTCGCAGAGCCGTGAGGACTCCTGGAAAAAAGTCTCTGGGAATCCCATGGAGGATTTCTGAAACGGTCCTGACTCGGCGACTCGGGGCCCTCTGGACTCATGGGAGGGTTTTGGAGGTCGCTTTGGAGGGGCACAGCGTCCACAGGAGGCGCAGGAAACACATCAGAACTCACGGGAGCCAGCCCAGAAAACTCTGGTAAGATTTGGGACACGCCTGGTCCGGGACCTTAAAGACTTAGAATGCTCGCTGCAGAAGCAGCCCAGCGGCTAACTTCTCAGTACTGCATGAGCCTTGAGGCACTCCACTTCGTGCCAGAGGCACGGTGGCGGATTTGTGGCACCAATATGGGCAGTAGGACAACCAAGACTGTCACAAAAAGTCCCTTCGCGGCCCCTCGGCTCCGGGGGCCCCCCCAGTACGCGGCCCGCAAGAGTGGGCCGCTGCTCCCGTGGCCGTTGGAGCCGCGAGATCCGCTGGACGGGTCGGAGGGGCGCTGGGAGCGGCGGTCCTCGCGGGCGAAGGTTTCGCCGACGTGGCCCTCTGCGGCATGGCTGGCACGGGCCCTCGTCCAGTGCGCTCCGGCCAGGGTGCCCCAGGGCGCGCGCAAATCGCTCAGGGCAAGCCCCCCTGCGTCTGGAGGGTTTATCCGAAGGGTTTAGGCGACCCGTCCTCCGCCTCCTCTTCCTTCTCATCCTCCTCCTCTTCCTCCTCCTCCTCCTCCACCTCCTCCTTCATCTCCTCCTCCTCCTCCTCCTCCTCCTCCTCCTCCTCCTCCACCTCCGCCTCCTCCTCCATCTCCTCCTCTCCTCCTCCTCCTCCTCCTCCTCCTCCTCCTCCTCCTCCTCCTCCTCTCCTCCTCCTCCTCCTCCTCCTCCTCCTCCTCCTCCTCCTCCTCCTCCTCCTCCCTCCTCTCCTCCTCTCCTCCTCCTCCTCCCCCCTCCTCCTCCTCCTCGCTCCTCCCCCCCCCCGCCCCCCCTCCTCCTCCTCCTCCTCCTCCTCATTCTCCTTCTCCTCTTCCTCCTGCTCCTCCTCCTCCTCCTCCTCCTCCTCCTCCTCCTCCTCCTCCTCCTCCTCCTCCTCCTCCTCCTCCTCCTCCTCCTCCTCGGGTCGCCTACGGCCCCGAGGGAAACCGTGCGCCTGCGTCCTCCCGTGGGCCCCCGGGGCCGCACACCTGGGGAGGAGAGGCGGAGGGCACCGAGCCCCGGCGGGCGCGCACGGCTCTGGGAGGGGGGGGCGGCTATTGTCGGGGCGCCCCGTCCGCGCTCGTGTCTCGGGAGAGGCCCCTCCCCCATGAGCCAGTTCGGCGCGCTGGGGTGGCGCCCTTTCGCGTTCTCCGTCGCAGCCGCTCGTTTTCCTCGTCCTGCTGCCCCGAAGGGTTTGGCCCGACGCACCAAGTCCTGATTTGAGCTCAGAAGGGGGGGGGGGACATGGAGGAGCGAGAAGAGGAGGAAGAGGGGTTTGAGGAGGGGGAGGGCAAGAAGAAGGTGGAGGAGGAGAAGGAGAAGGAGCAGAAGCAGAGGAGGAAGAGCAGCAACGGCAGGGGAAAGGAGGACGAGGTGAAAGGGGAGGAGCAGCAGGAAAAGGAGGAGGAGGAGGAGGGCCAGAGTAAAACCAGGATGCACCAACGATGCTGCAAGACACCCTCCCACCCCGGGTCCCCTTCTCATGGGTTCCTGGAAGTCTTCTTTCCCATTGCGGGAAAAAGTGCAACCCTGGAATGACGAGGGCCCGGCGGACCTGCCACTCAGGCGAGGCCCCGTTCTGAAAGGGATCCGCCCTCCCAGCCGAGCGGAACGCAAAGAGGCAGGACGAGCAAGCCCACAGAGGAGTCCAGCGATAGCCCCGCTTCGAAGAGGAGGTGCTCGCCATCCGTGCAAGCAGTGCACAAGTCTGAAGCTCTGGCCAACAGAGGCCCGACAGTCTCCATCGAGAGCCCCGTGCTGAGAAGGAGCCACCCTCCACACGATGACTTGCTGCGCCAGTTGGAACGTCGGGTCGTAGAATTCGATGGAGCATCCAGCGAGGGCCCCGTTGTGTAAACGAACTGGCCTGCAGGCTTGAAATTGCTGCAAGCGCTAAAAACCCGCAGTGCGGCGCAAAGGCGAGAGCCGCATTTCGAAAAATACCACCACAATATGTGTAAACGTTAGGTTTCTTATGATGAGTGTGCGACGCGCTACGGCGAGAGCCGCATTTTGGAAACGAGCCAGGCTCCGCAGTTGCAAGCGCTGGAGGCCTTTGAAACGAATGCGCGCGGAGCTAGGGCGAGAGCCGAATTTCGAAAACGGCCGACCCCCCATTGTTGTAACAGATTTTGCTTTGGGGCGTCAGGACCGTAAATCCTGAGTAAGCCCCTGGCGAATCGCCCAGCCCGACTTGCGGACACGTCTCGTGGTGCGTTGGGGGGAGAGAGTTCGGGATTGAAAGGAGAAAAGGATGAGGAGGAAGGAAAGAGAAGGAGCAGGAGGAGAAGGGGAAGGAGGACAAGAAGGGGCGCATGTGTAGGGGCACGCCTGGGATCGGAACGGTAATAGTTCGGAGTCGCGAGTGTGGGCCGCGCGCGGAAAGCAGCGGGAGGTGTCGATGCAGCCGCCGATGGGGCAGCAGAGCTTCGGGGTGCTTGTTGCTACACGCCTGCCTTGCTCTCGTTGGTGACGACGGGGAAGAGACGAAGGAGGGGAGGAGGAGGGGGGGAAAGGGAGGAGGAGAAGGAGGAGGAGGTTTGGGCGGCCTCCCCTGCTCTTCTCTCTCTTTTTTGTTTTCTCTCTCTCTCTCTCCCCACAGCACCATCGTCATCGTCATCGCCGTCGTCGTCCTCATCATCGTCATCATTATCATCACCATCATCATCATCATCATCAGCATCATCGTCATACTCAGCCTCGTCATCCTCATCGTCATCATCACCGGTTCCCATCCTGCCCCTCTGTCATCATGATAACCCGCCTTAGTTGTTTTTGGCTCCCCCGACCCTCGCTCACTACCGTACGTCCGTCTCCCCCCCTTTCGCCCACACCCCGGCGCTCCTCGAAGGGAGAGTAAGGATTCGGGCTGCATTCCTTGACCTTTGTAGACGCAGCGAGAGAAACTGCAGGCCTAGACCTTGCAAGTTGCGTGAAGGAATCCAGTGATATGAGCCGACATTTCCTTGAGCAGATTGATCTGCTCATGCGCAGAAACGTGTTGTCCGTTCTCAAGCCTCAACACTCCTCAGCTCACCTCCGTTTACAACGATTGCTTCCGCTACAGTGGGGGAGTGCACGAAGAGCCCGCTTGTGTTCGCCAGGATGTTTGGAAGTCGTTCGGTCCAAAATGATTTTCAAGTGGAACCCCAGGGCTCCCAAATCTCCATTCCATTAAAATCTTTCGCAGTCGGGGTACGGAGTCCTTGAGGAGAGCTCGTGCTGCCGAAGTCTTCCCTGTCGCCCCCTCCTTGTTGCCCCTCCCCTCCCGCCCACTACCGTCTCTTCTCCCACATCATATCCTCTCCCCTCCTTTTTACTTTCTTCCCTCCATCCGTCTACCCTTCGGAGAGGGAAGAGGGATGAGGGAGGAGGGAATACGGAGGAGGATGGAGGAGGCTGAAGATGGCCCCATTTTCCCATTCCGACACACCCACCCTCTTCCCCCCTCTCCCGTCGCTGTTTCAGAACAGTTGCCCACCCCCCCCGCAGAAGCCCCTTGCCCCCAGAACATGTTATCCTCCCGACGTTTTTCCCCTCCTCCTTCGTCATCCTCCTCTTCCTCGTTTTCCGCCTACCCGAACGGGAGTAGTGCACCTTTTCTGTTTTTTTTTGTCCATGCTTGGTTTCCTTGTGGCTGTTTGGCGCAAGGCTAGCCCCCCGTGTCCGCATGACACTCTTTCGACACCACGTTCACCCGTTTGACTCTCAGATAGAGTATTTTTGTTTACAGGATTCATATATTACACCCCATTGTCTAGGTGGTAGCGGAGCTTCGGCTCTGCGACCCACTGCCGCCATGGCCCGCGTTGTTTTTTCTCGTCCTCGCTGCGCCTCGACGGCATCAGCTTTCCCAACCTCACCGTTTTCGACATGTTCAACGTGTTCGCCGTCTTTGACACCCTGGTTCATCACCAATGTGTTCACCGCTTTCAGGATCGGCGGACGATGTCGTGCACCCCCATATTGATTTCAAGCTGGACAATGTTCAATCACTACAAGTACGGCACCCCGCCGCCTCTCGATGCTCTCTGTCCCAGGTTCGCCCTGACTATGTTTGAGCAGTTCGCGGATCGTACGGCCACAGTTCCCTCACAAATGGAAATACCCACAAGTGGGGCCTCACCTGCGAGTGATAAACAGTTAACCGATACAGCATACGCATCAGCGGCGCCAGCCAAGGGTCCCGAGCTCTTCGCGACTATGTTACGAGAGCCTGGAAAGAACAGCCGGAGAAAGGCTGGAAATCCGTGGAGGGTCTGGCGACTATGGTGTCAGCATTCCAAGGGACAGCGAAATAGACCTGGGACGATCTGTCTTCGATATTTGAGAGCATGACCTGTCGCCACACCCATTTTTTCCCCTCATTCTGGCAGGACGAGATCCCAACGCCACTCATCTTGACGATCCTGCAGTTGGGGGTGTTCAGCACAACGACGATGCGACGCACGAAGAGCATTCGCATCACTATGTTCTGGGATGACCCGAGTTCCGAGAGCACCACAACGACGCGACGGAAGATCACACCTAATACGCTGGCGAGAAGAAACACATCCGGGGCAGGTACTTATGTCACGCGATGATGTATATAGTGACGGGTTCCCCTCGGAATGTGTATCCCATGCAAACAGGTATGACACAGACGCTTGCACGTCGCGAACTATGGTCTCGAATGCGACGTAGCAAACCGTGCAAGTGAGTGAGTTGTTTCCGCGAACTGCGCTCGTGGAGCTGCAGGCGACATGAAAGCTTGAAGCCTGCTCCATCCTAACTGTAAATACCAATACCTGTATCGAATGCTGCGTTGGTTGGCACATGGTTTGCTTGCGCTGACCGACGAGACACAACATACTCGATTGAGCACCACATTCAAACGGTAGCACCGCAATATCTCTGCCTTTTTTCCGTGCCCGGTTTCCTTGTGGCTGTTTGCTTCCAGGCTTGCCGCCCGCACCTGTCTGACACTCGCTTGACACGTCTTTCATCGATTGACTATCCAATAAATTATTTTTCTGTTAATCCGATTTGCTTTTGGCGTTCCATTTTCCAGTCTCCTCCTCCTCCTCCTCCTCTTCCTCACTTCCTCCTCCCTTTACGTTTCCTTTTCCTCTTCGCAGCGCGTCTCCTTGGCGTGGTTGAGTCTTCTGTCTGCGGGGCAGGAAGGAGGCGGACTGTGGTTCTCCACCCGGGTGCCGAAAAGAGCTCTCCGGACGGGCGCACCTTTTTTCGTGGCGCGTTTGGGGCCTTCGGCTGGCACGCCCAGCCCAGGTGGCCACGCACCTCAAAGCCAGGAGCGCGCCAAGCTTTGGACAAGGGGAAGGAAGGAGCGGGAGGAGGACGAGGAGGAGAGAGAGAGAGAGGGAGGTTCGGGCATTCACCTTTCTCATCCTCATTCGGTCCTTTTACCATTATCGTCCTCTTCCTTGTCCTCCTTCTCCTCCTAGCATTCCTCATCCTCCCTCTCCACGTCCATACACGCATGGGCGGGCATGCTCCCCCTTCGATTGCATCAGTAGCTGCTTGGAGTGGTTCGCTGGTAGGAGTTCGCAAGGTGGATTGGGGACGAGCCGTGCTGGTGAACACGATGCAGCAGGGGCGGCATGCCTGCCATGCTGCGAAAACGAGGTTGGTATTGGCTTCGACGTAAGACGTGCCACAACCCCGATCACAACGCATCTTGGTTAAGTGGGGAGAGCCCGGGAGAGAGAGACAGGGAGAGACAGAGAGGAATCCTGATAGAATATGCGAACTTGTCGGCTTTGAGTACTGCTGTCCTCCGCGTGCGCCATGCAAGTAGTGCCATGTACGGGGTGGGTGTCACTGGCGGCAGCCGAAGCAGTTGCAGATGCACCACGGGTTGAATTTCTCGTGCGCCAGGTGGGCACACCAGCTTGCAATCAAGTTGTTGGAGTTGGGATGCCTGGTGGCGATTTCGGACTGGGGCGATCTGCTTAGAGGCATCTCAGTACAGAAAGCTTTTCCCCTTGGTTGCCACAGTCAATTCTTGCCTTCGAAATCAGGGACAGGAGGAGGAGGAGGACAGCGATACGTGGAACGCCAGACATTGATTTCACGTTCACGTTCAGGCAAATGATGATCAGAGGTATCTCTATCGCCAACATGTCCATATCAATGAGGCCGAATCGAGGGTGAAATCGGCACAGCAACGGGGTATTCAAGAGTTGGGCCACCACAAGGCAGGACTAGTGGTTGCAAGCACGACCTGTTGGCAAGGTCAGGAAGAGAGAGAGTTCGGCAATCTGCTTAGGGGAGTAAGCCTGCCATTGCCTCCCTCCTGGGCACTACCCACCGCCATTATCATAGACCGCTTCGCGAGGGACACGACTGGACAAACACTGCATGCAGTCAATTCGGCGAGCGGCAGAATTCGAAACATGTGGGCGGCGAGGCTGGAGTTGGCAACGTGCGTCCCTCAGGCTTGCTCCTCTTCCAAACTCTTCCAAATGATTGCACTCCTCCCCATCTCCTGCTGCTGTTTCTCCTGGACATCCTCATCCGCGTACTCTTCCTCTTCCCCCTCATCATTATCATCATTATCATCAGAATCATCCTTCGTGGGGCCCTATGGGGCCCTTCCAGGCCGTGTTGGGACTGTCTTGGGCGCTGTTTGGAGCGTCTTTTGGTTGTCTTGCGAACGAGGAGCTCCCTTGGGCTGTCTTGTGAACGCGACCATTTGGAGCTGCTTTGGGGGTCCTTGAGTTTTCTGAGCAAGCAGCGGCCTCCAAGCGAACGGCGAGAACGCTAAGAGAACGCGCACGGAACTGCAACCTTCCGTGGAGTGGACCGTGCGGGCCACCCCTGCAGAGGAGGCATTCCATGAAAGAGTTCGATTGGCATCCTGGGCCGTATTGGAGCAGAGCCACAAAGTGGTGCTCCGGGACAGCGCTGCGAGCCCTGCAGACGGCAGTCAACGCGCAGTCGCGAGGACGGCCCCCAAAAAATATGGATTTGCACGACATCTGGTTTTCTCGGAAGCACGATGGCGCGCCGTATCTTGCCAGCGCCCAGCACCCCGTCGGGGGTGCAGGGCTCCCGCATGCCGGATTTAGCTTTCGACCTCGTGTTCGTTTGCTTTAGGGCTGTCTTGTGGAGGCGTCGTGGGGCCTTCCAAGGCCATCTTGGGCCCTTCTGGGCCGTCTTGGAGTTCAGTCATGTCGGCCGTCTGGAGGTCTTTGCGAGCCATTACTTGAAGCACAGCATTTCCGCTCCCGCAGATGGGGTCAGGAGTTCGCATGGGAATGCGAACGCGGCGCAAGCATCCCGTAATAAAAGCAGTCACTGTGGCGATTCACATTTTTTCTTCAGAGGGTCCAGGGTTAGCGTTGGACTTGGGCGGACATCGGCGTGCTTTGCGAACGCACGCGAATGGGCACTCCCGCTCTCCCAGTGGGAGTCGGGAGTCGGCGTTAGAGTTCCGACGGCTATCAGCGCACATTGACAAAAGACAGCCCAAGGCGTACATTGTCCAGGTACCGTATCTGAATTGGCGTTGGAATTCGGGCGGTGACCAACGTCCCTGGTAATCTTTCCAACGGT